GTGTGTGTGTGTGTGTGTGTGTGTGTGTGTGTGTGTGTGTGTGTGTGTATGAAATAATCCATGTGAAACATAGCAAAGTATGACACCTTGTCTCATCCCTGAGAGATAACCTCATCCCTCCTCAAAATCATCACCCCAGGACATGAGTGGAGCAGTTTCTCCCGGCAGAGGGCTCGGTTTCTCCTCTCTGTTCTGTGTTCCTTCATGATGGCACCAATAACGACCACACTGACTTGACCACTAATAAGGAGTAACGCCCAGGCTATAGAACGAGGGTCTTTCTAAGGTTTCATCCATGTGATTCTTTTGGCATGTCTGCCACTGCAGAAGCACGGGATAAAACACAGACAGGACCTTACAAACTCTGCTATAGTCCCCATACTGACCTGGCGACATCCATCCTCTTCTCCGACAAGTTTAGATTCTTGTGCTTCCGGTCTTCCATGAACTCAACTTTCTGTTTTCTGTAGGGTGTTGGTGGTGGTGGTAGTTTGGATAGGTTTGGGATTGTTTGGGTTTTTTTTGGTTTTTTTTTGGGGGGGGGGTTGGTTGTTATTTGGGGGGTTGTTTTTGTTTGGTTTTCTTTGAGGTTTTCTCCTCTTTTTTTGGCTTGTGTTGGATGTACCATCACCCGGTCCCTTTCCCAGTTCGGTGTTCAAGGTACACCAAGATATTCTTTGGTCCCTCAGGATGGCTGTCAAAACTGTGACCCTGTACCTGTCACATCTGCTTTTCAACTTTCCAAATGGCACAGAGCTTTTCCTGTCTCCCTCCCTTCCACATGGCCAGCTGTAAGTCCCGCCCTCCAGCGTCACCAACACCTGATTCGGCAACATCCTGTGGTGTTCTCTGTTGGCAGAGTCACATTCCAACCCCATTATCTGGGCAGTGCTTTTCAATACTAAAGACTCTGGTTTTCATGTGAACACACATTGTTCAGAAAATGAGAAAGTCCACCCTCCATACATCGACTTTTGGGAGACAGAATGCCCCCCAAACATAAGCCCCCCTCCATCTGTAATCGTATATACACTCACAGGAAGGTAGATAGCACACACACACACACACACACACACACGCTGCCACCACCCCATTTAACAGAGAGAACACCACTGATTTTTTTAGCCATGTGACACCACGGACAAAGGACCTGCCAACCTGGCAATGAGGTGAGAGTTTGTGCCCTAGAGAGGGAAATGGGAAGCAAGCAGCTTTCCATCATTCTGACAAGCAGTTTACCACTGGATATCTGAGGGTGCTGACAGGGGCTGACTTGAACGAGTGGAAAGCCCACAGCTCCTGAATTCATCTTCTAGCAACATGGACTGCGGGGAGTGCTACTGCAGCACTTTCTGGAAAACATCAAAAGAGAGATGGAACAGCATAAAATATATTAGGTGAAATGCAATTTCAAATTTTCCAGCAATGTGCTTAATATATAAAATAATCTACGCCCAACTGTACTCATAAAGCGGCAAGCCTGCTGAGTGGCTCTGTAAATCACAACCTCCAGAAGAGAATAAAAGCCTTATTCTTTGCTTAATGGCTTTTGGAGTCACATGGCAATATTTGAAAATACCGTTTCTAAAGATTTTCATGTTCTCTCCCCCCAAAAAACTTAGCCTCCACCTGTGCACAGCAAGCCTTTGAAGTCAAAGCTGATGACCACCAGTATGCTGGCCACCTTTGGCCAGGCTTACCAGCCCTTAGCATCCATCTTTGATTAAGAATCAGCTGTTCATTTCCATACTCTCGGTCCAGGGGGTTTTCACTAATAGAAAATGGGTTTTGGAAGCCCGTGTATCATTTCGTGATTACTCCTGAGGGCCAATTCCACAGCGTCTCTTGTAGCCTTTGCTAACCACAAACTTTGTTTTCTGCGTCTCTGTCTTGAACTCTCACGCTGCTATGCGTTGCTATTGCTGTTTTTATCACTATTACCGGCCCAGGATGCAATTCTGTGCTTCTGACAGTTTATCTACTCTGTCTAAGTGAGTATCTATTACTCTCCATTTTCTACGGCATTTGCCATAGTTCCGCTGTTGAGGTTAGTGTCTGCATCTCTAAAAATAGACAGTGGATTTAAAATGTTAGGAGGTAGGCGAACACGGGCCTCTTTGCCAATGATTATTTGTGAAATTGATTGGGTTTTTTTGTTTTGTTTTGTTTTGTTTTTTTAGGTAAAGATGTAAATTCATAAAAGCACCCAGTAAAGTCTTAACGCCTTTGATTCTGTGTGTTCTCCTCCTAGATGTTAACAGCTGGCTGGTGACATTTGGCTTCCATCTGCACAATGCTATTCCTGGATTCCCTGTTCCCAAATTTGATTTAACAGAACCTTCCTACGAACTTGTGAAGAGTCAACAGTGGGAAGACGTGCCGGTAAGAAACAAACAGCGAAAAGAAGGGAAGGCAGTGATTGGCTAGCGTGCCTGGGTCCTGTTTACCCACAAGTCATCAAACTACCCTGGTGGAAAAAAAAAACCTTACCCGTTTTTCTTTTTCTTTTTCTTTCACACTTTTGAGGAAGGAAAGCTGACAGTTCCACTGCATTTCTGTTCGGCATGCTAGACGCCTGTTAAACAGGCCAAATCTGTTTCTAGTAATGCTAATAAAAACATTGAAATACACTATCAAAAGGTAATAAAATGCAGAAGCCTGTGTTTTCTGTGTAGGGCTTCTACAGAGAACCCCAGGAAAAAGCATTTATGGCACCTGGGAGTTCAAGGCGAGATGCAATAAGCAAGAGAACGGGGATTCGGATTTCAAATTAGCAACCCACAAACAGTGCCGCCACAGCCTTTGCAGAGAAATAAAATGTCCTCTAGTCTATGAGCAGGTGTTCACAGAATTCTCCTGAAAATTACAGATCAGGAGGCCTGACCCTGTTGTGAGAAAGAAATAAACTGGGAAACAGACTGGGAAATTTCAAAGTCAGAACTGCTGTGTCAGGAAGTGGGCTCTTTAATTCCCATCATTCACTGCTCAGAAAAGAACACACAACAAAACACCAGGACTTCTAGCTCAAAGCAAGAATAATTAGAGGTCATGAAATTGGGTTACCTCGTAAGGATAAGGCAAGTGCAGGGTTCCTAGAAAAGTTAATCCCTACCTTGGGCAATGTCCTACCACTTTGGTGAATTAAAAAAAAAAAAAACGGTAGTCAGGATTAAAACACACAAATACACACATGGTGTATACTGTGCTCAGTGATACGTTTTTCTGATAAAGTTTCATTCTTCACAATAAAAACCTGTCTCACTGGCATTTTTATTTCATAAGCAAAATCCATCAAGCTTCTAGGGTCTGGAGGCCATTTTAACATTGCTTCCTTTTTTAAAGATGTGCATATGTGAATGCAGGTGCCCTTGGACTTCAAGTCCAGAGGAGAGCATCAGAGCCACTGGAACTAGAGGTACATACAGGCAGCTGCGAGCTGCCGGATGTTGGTGCTGCAAACCTAACTCTGGTCCTCTGCAAGAACAGTGTGTTCTTAACCCATGAGCCTTCTCTCCAGTCCCCATTTTTAACATTTCTAATTGCAAATATATCTGGCCCTGACAACGTGCCTCCAAAGACTCACCAAGGCCTCCTGATGCATTTGAGTGTGCTGTCCTAACTGTATGAGTTCACAACATGTCTAAAAGCACTTTAGTCTGCTGGTACAAACGGACCTGCCAACTTTTTTCCTAGGCAGCCTTTCAATATGACTCAAGTTTTCCAACCAGAAAAGTTCACCATAAGGATAGCTTAGGGAATCCCGAGTAAAGACTTCGGGCAGCCTCCCTAGTGCAGGAGGGGAGATGGGCGTTTCTTTTGGGTGCTGTAAATGAAACAGATGTTTCCTTTTGGCTAGACAAACATCTGCTGATATACGAAATGGCTGCCTTAGAATTCCCCCAATTTCAAGCAATTTGCCAGTGGAGATAGTCCGGTCTGTACATCTGCATAAAATACTTGTTTTCTAGAGTTTAAGGTCTCGTGCCCAGCTGGCCCCCAGTCCTCTCATCCCTGAACAGTTCAGCTCTGCAATTATACGGGGGACTCTCAGCTATAAACTGTCCACGGGACAGGAGGCACAGAGGACTTAGAACACAGGCAATTCAAAGTGTTAGGAGGGCCTGGTGAGCCCGGTCTCAGGCATCCTGGGAGAAAGCTACTGCTGCAGGCCTGGTAGACTGGCTTTCCCACATTGGGCGGTTTGAGACTAAAGCCTCTAGGAATTACAAAATGAAAGATAATAATATGAATAGCCTGCCTGCCTTGGAAACTCAAAAAGCTCTCAGAGATGTGTGAGATATCCTTTTTTATTGCAGGTTTAGTTTGCGTGTCCATACACACCCCCATACAACAGCACGTGTGTAGATGTCAGAGGACAATTGGGTCAGGCTCGGCAGTAGGCGTCTTTATACCCAGTGAGCCATTCTCCAGCCGATAACCTCCCTTTTTGAACATTTTAAAAACTAGTATAACTTCCACGAGGGAAGGAATGGCGTGTGTAGGCATTCTATACAGTAAAGGAGTTCCCTGTCAGTAAAGGGTTCTGCACCTCCACTAAGACCTGTTTTGTTTCCTGGCTGGTTGGGGTTTGGTTTTCTGGGATAGGAGCTCACGTAGCTCAGGATAACCCTGAACTCACCATGTAGCCAAAGATGGCCTTGTTCTCCTGATCCTCCCTACCTCCTCAATGCAGTGCTGAGAGCGTGGGGAGCCTTGCTGTATGTGTAGTCAGAACCAGGCAGGGCACCAGCCAGCATGGCTCCCAGCAACCAGGATCTGTACACTGCTGGTCTTTCAATCTCCCTCCTCTTGTGTTTTGCTTTTCAGCCCATCTTTGGAGTTCAGCAGCAAGTGGCAAGGCAAGCCAAGGCCTTCTTGTCCCTGGGGAAGATGGCCGAAGTGCAGGTGAGCCGACGCAAGGCTGGAGGCGAGCAGTCGTGGCTGTGGTTCGCCACCGTCAAGTCGCTCATCGGCAAGGGCGTCATGCTGGCCGTGAGCCAGGGCCGCGTGCAGACCAACGTGCTCAACATCGCCAACGAGGACTGCATCAAGGTGGCTGCGGTGCTCAACAATGCCTTCTACCTGGAGAACCTACACTTCACCATCGAGGGCAAGGACACGCACTACTTTATCAAGACCACCACGCCCGAGAGCGACCTGGGCACGCTGCGGCTGACCAGCGGCCGCAAGGCCCTGGAGAACGGTATCAACGTGACAGTGTCGCAGTCCACCACGGTGGTGAATGGCAGGACTCGCAGGTTCGCAGACGTGGAGATGCAGTTCGGCGCCCTGGCGCTGCATGTGCGCTATGGCATGACGCTGGACGAGGAGAAGGCGCGCATCCTGGAGCAGGCGCGCCAGCGCGCTCTCGCCCGGGCATGGGCGCGCGAGCAGCAGCGCGTGCGCGACGGCGAGGAGGGTGCGCGCCTCTGGACGGAGGGTGAGAAGCGGCAGCTGCTGAGCGCCGGCAAGGTGCAGGGCTACGATGGGTACTACGTACTGTCGGTGGAGCAGTACCCCGAGCTGGCTGACAGTGCCAACAACATCCAGTTCCTGCGACAAAGTGAGATCGGCAAGAGGTAACCCCCGGGCCACCCCTGCGCAGATTCTCCTGTAGCACAATCCGAACCGGACTCTCCAAAGAGCCTTCCAGAATGACACTGCTCTGCAGACACACACACCGCAGACACACATGCAACACAAACCAGAAACAAAGACAACTCTTTTTTTCTGAATGACCTTAAAGGTGATCGGCTTTAAAGAATATGTTTACATACGCATATCGCTGCACTCAATTGGACTGGAAGTATGAGAAGGGGGGAAAAAAGCATTAAAAAAAAGGCAACGTTTTGCCATGACCCTCTGTACCTTCGAGGCACTGTATTTAACAAAGGTTTTAAAAAGAAAAAAAAAATGCGTACAATGTTTCCAGATATTACTGAATTGTCGACCTTTGCTTACAGGAAGTAATCTCTACTTAGGATGTGATATATATAGATCTGTTCATTTTAAAATGTGGGGCAAAGTTACTGTTTCTAGAACCCAACTGCTTTCCCGTGCTGCTTTGTAAAAGGACATTGGCACAAGGGACGTCTGCTTCAGCGGGGATTTAATAATGGATTTTACTAACATGGCTTGCCCTGGGAGGGAAAAACTGACAAATAGAATCCTTGTCACTGATAAGCAAAGGAAACCCTGATTTTTTTGTAAATTATGTGAGACAAGTTGTTTATGGATTTTTATATGAATTACAATTTACTGTACATCAAATATTAGTCTCAGAGGAGTTAATTTATGTAAAGTGTTTAAAAAGTTTATACTTAAAAAATAAAATGATAAAAACATGTGAACTGTGTGATTTTTTTAAAAGAGGATTGCACCTTTTGTTATCTGTTATAACTGTACAGTATAACTTACTATATTGTAGAGATATAACAACTTATGCCTATCATGTCCAGAAGTGTTAATATTTTTGTATTAGGTTGAAAAGAACAATGTGCAACTTTCTGTCACTTAGATGGATAGGACAGTGCAGTCCTCAGTGGGTGGCTAATCAGAGAACTCCTTTTCTTCCTTCTCTTTCATATCAAGCCACTGGCCTCAACCATTACCAACCAAGAGGCCCAGTTGACATCCAAGGCTGGTGGAATGTAATGGAGGGTGTGGGGGAGGGAAACAAAGAGCAAAGAACCCAAGGAGAGAAGAGGCTCTCTGACCCTCTCTAGGCCCTAAAAGTCAAGCCGACTTCATCGACCAGAGCTTTTAATACTATATTGTTGTCCCTCGATGCTCCACTTCATGATGGAGGAAAGAGACCACGATCTGATGCTCGGGGAACTTTTGTGGGGAGGGAAGGACTTGATGTCATGGTAACCATGAACATGTATCTTAATGTCTAGGAAAGATAGCAATAACCGAGCAATGGTGAGCCAGGGGGGACCAACCAGTCAAGGTCACTCTCTGTGAGGCTTGGAGTTGGACCCTTAGGTCAGCCAGTGGGACCCAAACAGGAAGGCAAGCTCCCGTAAGCCCACACGGCCCAACCATCACAGGGAATGGTTTGAGTGGCAGCCTGTGCTGGCCAGGGGTAGCCTGGGGTACTGGGTGGAGTAGGAAGGAAACTGACGTCAGTGCCCCCCTCCCACTGAAAGCTTGGGGTTCCACCATAGACACCATCTGCACTTCTGTGCCAACCCAGCCACTCTGAAGAATCTTTCATGAGCACTGAATTCAGCCACAAAAATATTTTTAGAAAATATTTCTCAGTTCATTGAGCTATAGTACACACTGTTTTCCTCTATGTATAATGGTGATAAATATAGCAAGTGAACATGTCGTAAATATAAAGGTTCAAGTGATGTATTGAAAATAATTTTCTAACTGCTTTGTATGTATCACATACTCTAAATTGCACAGTAGGCGTGTTTATTAAACAGATTGGCTGGGAAAGTTTTGAAATAGCTACTGAATTTACAGTCTCAGTGCTATTCCTGTTGCTGTGTATGTGGTAGGGTATACCGAAGTAATTAATCTTCTAATGAATGCTGATATTTTATTAGAATGAAAGCACAGATTAGCATTAATATTTTTTATCCTGGAAATCCTTTGGCGAGTACTGGGAAGCCCAAATTTAGCAAACTATGAGATTTCAAACCACGTAAATATGGCTCTGTTGGACATTTTATTTTTTAACTGTTAACTTAGGTGTTTGCAGTTCTGTCGAATGGGACTTCTGCAGGACTGTATTTAGCATGCTGTAAGTACTTTGGGGTGAAATAGGCTCCGAGTCTAAATTCTCAGAAATGTCTGTGATGTATTGACCATGAATAGTTTATACCACATGACAGAAGTGAATTTACACTCTTAACCCCTTCTTGACGTGGACTGGTCTTTACAGGGGCACCAATAAATGACAGATCTGGAGAGTCTCCTGGTGCTTATTTTAGAAGTCAAATCAGCCCAATTAGTATCTTGTTAGTAGATATAACGAGCCTATTTCTTTCTAAAAAGGCTTGTGGTCTGGACGTGCTTTTACAAGAAATAGTGACCTTGGGGAATATGTAAACAAGAGATCTTTTTCTAAGAGTTTGGGGGGAGGTTGGGGGACCTGTATAATGACAAAAATTAGCTTACAACAATGACAACCACAAAAAAAGAAACAAAAGAAATTGATATTCAAAGTATTTTAGGCAAAGCCAGTCAAAATGCTTTCATGATATTTTGAGATGTAAATTTTTGTCTGATTTGTATTGTTCTTTTCATTTGCCTTCTTAACTTTATATGTGACCTGAATTTTCCATAACTTGATGACTATAGATTGCATCTAGGCATTCCAATAAAAGCCAACCCAATGTGTGTGCGTTTACATTTTTTTTTCCAAGTCTTGACTAGCCAGAATGGCTTTTATGTTTCACGTGGATACAGAAGGAGGCGGATCTGGGGGTGTAATTTATCTGCACCCAAACCGATGATAGCCCTCATTACTACTGCGTTTGGCTCCTTGTTTTGTTTTTTTTGGATTTAGTTTCAAAATGACAGCTTGGAGGGGCACACTTCACGGAGGTCTCTACCCTGGCCTACTTTAGAAAAATGTTCACTACACCTCCACAAAGCCAAACACTAACTGTAAAAGAATTGAAGAAAAAAAAAATCACCCACTACTCCTAGAAATCGGGTCTCATTCCTGTGATGTTGGCATTGAGTGTGCTTAATTAAAACACTTGATTAGAATAATCAGTTTGGGCCTGATAGGTTCTCAGCCTCCTGGAGCTGTCTAAATCTACATATAGACCGACTGATTAAGGTTTGCTTTGTTCAGCAATTCCAGGCTGACAGGCCAGGGCTTTGATTGTAGTATGAAAAGGCAGACTTCTTCATGCTCACTTTACAGTGACAACCTCAACTTCATCCAGCGTGGATACTACAGGAATCAGGTCATCCCGCTTGGCAAAAGGTTCTCGTTTCTTCTCAGATTAGAGTTCAGTATGCCCGAAGCACAGGAACCCAGTAAAACATGGTATATTCCAACCCTTCCGCTTTACAATGCTTTCCTTGTCTGACCAAGCTCAGAGAACAACAGTGGAAGTGAACTTTAGATAATGAACTGGGTACCAAACGTGCCACTCACTCCCTTGGTGAACCGTGCATCCGTATTTATACTCACTGCAAGTTACCTATTAGTCACATGACCAACCCCACGGGCACTTAAAGGAAATGAGAGATTATCCTGCCTTTGTAACCCTAACCATGCCCACTCCTCTTCCTGTTCACAGCCTTTTCTTTTGTCTCGGCTGATCCCACATACAGCCTTTTCTCTCGCCAGGTAGACAGCCAATCCGCTATCCGTGCAAGGTAGACAGTGCAAGGTGCTCTTTGGAATAGAGGAGTCCAGAAGAGGGAGCCTGAAGGCACTGATCCATGACATCCTCTGTCTGTAACAAAAAGCATCTGAGCAGTGTTCTAGGACACAGCCCACCCACAAACTGCCACCACCCAACCCAGGTGACACAGATGATATCTAGGCTCCTAAAGATCAAAGCAAGACTTCCCTGCCTTGAAGGGGCAGCCTAGCAGTATCATACCCCTTCTGAAGATGACTCCATCACACCGTCCTGAGGAAAAGTGAGCTTAGCCTGCAACTCCAGTCCCCAGCATGCAGTAAATTCTAGATGAGGGAGAAGGAACTTAGAAAAATTGAGTGAATTATCCAAAAGGATATCCAAGTGTGGATGGGGTTCAAGCCAAGATAAGCAAAGGTTCTCTGTCAGGTAGTTATCATTCCTACGTTGATAACATTACCTGGGGACAGTACCCTGGAAGGTTCTGGCAATATTACCTGCCATATTTGCATAAGTCATAAGACATGGGCTTTATGTCCCTGTGTATCTGCCAATGTTTCTAGCTTCTTAGCTCCCTCATTTATGGAAACAAGTCTTCCATACGATGATAATGAGTGCCCATTATTTCTAAACGAAAGACTAGAGATTTTTTTCCATAAGTCTCTCATTTGACTTTGTCATCCTACCAAGGTCGTGGAAAAAATTACACATTGTTTATATAGTCCTACTCACCTTAACCACAGTGTGAACCCAAGTACCAAAGAGGTCGTGGTCTGGCTGCTGGGGTTTTCTGCCCTCTGACTCAAGCCCCAGAATGAATATCCTGTTACCACTTTTCTCGTTTGTTACCACCTCTGCAAGCAATGGTCTCTTGATGTCAGTTAATTACTAATAACTTTTAGGTAGATCGAATAAACCTTTTCATTAATGAACCAACTTAAAATTCTGCCATGGAGAAATACGGGATTCCTAGAGAGCCTTGTGTATAGAGAATTTACTACAAACTGATACTGAGCTTAAAGTAACATCATTATTCAGTTTAGAGATAATGGGCTCCACAAAGCAAATTTAATAAATCCTTCCGGGATCTAAGCAGAGGAAAATTAAAATTAGAAGTATAAATTGTTAGTTCTAGGGCAAGAGAGTGGCTCGGTTGCAGTCTTCCTGCCTAGAGGGTGAATTGTAAGCGACCACTGGCATTCCACCTGCATTAGGAAAGGAGATGACATTCTTTGTACATGTGTGTAGAGATTTCCTGAATTCCACTGGCAATGGCTATTTCCACCTGACATAGCTCTCGCTGCATAGAATGGACAGGATTTCCAAGTGGTCTGCTGGGTGGAAAAGCATTCCTTAAAATTTTCGAAACAACGTTAACAAGGTGAGGGGAGCGTAAATACCCAAGGAGGAAAAGTGACAGGAGCCTAAAAATAGGAACTCTGAGGGAGCAGCCCAACTAGTCTCTTCCACCTCAGGTTCTTGTCACAAGGTGACTAGCAATGAGGTAAGTGAAGATCCACTTCATCCCAACTTGTCCTCCAAGATGGGAAGCCTATTGTACCTATTTCAGAAAACACTCCTTAAAAATCGTTCCCAGGTCCTCCTGCCTTTACATCCTCCCCTTTTCTCTCCCTTAATTCTCTCTTTCTGAAATGACCCCAGCAAGAGCTGCCTGGATTGTGACCAAAAAAAAATATGTCTGCTTTTCTTCACCTTAAGAGGAAACCCATGCTGGTCCATTGATAAGCCAGGTGATTTTGACTGCTGAGGATATCATAGGGAGATAGAGTCTTTCATCCCCAACTTATTGACAAAAGGTTATAAGCAAGCAGGTTTCAAAGTCTCAAGTGTGACACTTGAAGTGTGACATTATCTCCAAGGTCAGGCGTGAGATTTAAGCATCATTCTCAAGCACTGAAAAGCAATACTGGAAAGCACATAGGGGAAGAAGTGAGTGGTCCGGGCAGCCCGGCTCACTAGAGGTAGAGAAGGGAGAGACAATCTTTCTACAAGTCTGTCCTCCTCAGTTTTCAGGACTCTGACTTTTTGGGGAGTGAGATCCTGTCCCAACATCTGGTGACACCTTAGAGGAGCGAGACTCAGCAGAGACCTGTGTCTGGGTCATGGCGGCTGCGAGGCGCTTTCATGAAGGGCTCTTGCGCCCCCTAGCGATGGGTGCCTTAGGAGTCCCATCTATGCTAGCTGCTGCAATGTCCCAGAACCAGAAACAAAACAAAACATAAAAACAAAGAGAGACTTAAGAGCTCCCTCTACGCGTCTCTGGATGGGCCAATTCAAATGACCCTCTCTGGTCCCATTCTGTTCTGCCCTTAGACTTCCACACATAAAGCGATTCCTTCTGCTTCATGCGCCGCCTCACTGAGGCCTGGTCCTTGCAATCCTCACTCCCATAAGATTCCCTCCCCCTCCCCCCACCCCCCAGTCCCCACCCCTGTGCAGAAGCTCTGTCAAGCCATGTTCCTCTCGCCTGGCAGATCATAAGAGGACCCTTCCTCCCAGGAGTTGTCCGCGGGCTGTCTGAGTCCTGCAGCCCACTCAGAACACTGATTTCTGAACTACATTGTTTACTTTATATTTTCCATGTTAACAACCCTGTCGCTGCGAAGACTTTCCCAGAAGGACAGATTATTTAAATTCAGAGTGGCATTTTTATTTCTGCCCAAGCTAGGCTCTCACAGAAAGTGCTAGAATTACAGGCAGCCTGGAAAAAAAAAAAAAAAACAAACAAATTCTTCCTGCCCCCCCCCCTCAGCTTGACCTCACTTGCCAGGGTGAGAAAAAAAAAAAAAAGAGAACTTTCAACCTTTCGTTCCTGGGTTGTCACAGAGAAGCCAGTACATGCTGATTTTAAGTGACAGCATGTACCTACCTCAAGAAATCGTCCCTGGCTAGGTAGAACCTATTGACATTTCTTGGAGGCTCCTTGGGGACCCAAATATGTAGACCCACTTCCCCACTTTCTGATGTAAAAAGGGAGGGGGAAGCTAAAGATCACATATGGAGTCAAAATATCATGGCAGACAGAACCCCACGGCTCGTGAGAAGATAATAGTGGACCACTAGATGTCCGGACTGAACATCTTGCCCTTCTGTGACAGTGCCAAGCAAGCCAAACAGACTGTCTGTGGGAGGGGGAGGGGAGGGAACAGCACTCATCTGCACGAGCCAAGCAAGTCCGAGCTCATATCTTCACAGTTCTCCAGGAAGGCTCCCTTGGGTGCTCCTGGGAGCTGGAATCCCAGGAAGAGACAGACCCAGGGTAAGGACACACACAGTGGCACACATACACACACACACATACACACCAACCAAGAGCACTGGGGAGCCGGGTTCTGCAGCTGTGTTAGAAAGCCTGTCAGTCCTGGTCTTCAGCCCTTGTTTTTTCCCTGGTGCTGAAGTAATAGCTGGCTTCTTCCACGTTGTTTCCCTCATCTGGCCTCTGCCAAGGTACAAGGGGGTCCCCCACATGCTGCCACTTCCTTCTACGACAGCTGTGGTTGGTTCTCTTTGGTGGCTGCTTGGGAACCAACCCTAAGACCCTAAAACCCAAGTTGTACAAACTGGCAGCATTCCAGATTCTGAGGTCTATTGGAGTTCCCCACTCTCGCTCTCAGACTCCACCCACCCACCCACCTACTGTCACACCTAGAAGCAATGTTCTATGCCAGTAGTAAGGGCAGGGGAGGCAGGCTCCAGCTCGGGGCTCTTTGAAGGCAACAGGTCCCCAATTACTTCCCGCTCATTAAATTGTGGACGTAGCCCTGCCTGGTTCTTGTAAATCAAAGAAAACACGACTAGCCTTGCCATACCCGGGCTCTGTCTGCAGCCTCCGCCAATTAGCACTCTAGTTAATCAAACTTTAGAAGGTCCCTGGAGAGGCGGTGGAACTGGGAGCAGGCCGGAGCAGAAAAGACCCATTCAGTCTCGGCTTTGCCGAGCTGAAGGCAGCCACTTTTCTTCAACCAGTTTTCTCCATCTTTAAAGTGGGCTAGCACACAGCTTAC